GGGGGGGGGGTCCTGAAGCCCAAAAAACCCCTCTGGATCCGTCACTGGGTCGTCTCATGATCAGTTGAGGGTAAAGATTCGGTAACATAATACCAATCGATGCGTTACTATGTTGGGATGTTACAGTATCTTAGCCCGACACTTTGATAACCCGATCTCACTCAGTGACAGCTAAAATTGTTTTCCTCGCACCTTTTTGTTGGAAAATCTATTCGATTTCGCTAAAGTTTGCAAGTATCCCATCTTAGGCCTCAAATACATGTAAAAATGGCCTATTCACTACATATGATATGAATTATATCATCTTTTCAGGTTCTCACTGTATAATGTCGACCTCTGGATCAAGACAAGAGCTGACGACGTTCAGCAGGAAAAGTGGGCGTGACAAACTGATCCTCAGTTTTGTAGTTGTGGTTGGGCTAGCCTTACTCATTGGACTTGCCGTGGCAATTCCCTTGTCCAAACGGGATGCACACGACACCAACCTTGCCGCAGCTAAACTGTTCTTGGAAAACCACGTATTGATCGACGGGTATTTTCTAGATATATATTTTTTTCATGCTGCAAATTCATATATTTATTGTTCTGTTTTTTTGTTCTTTGTTGTATTTTTTAAACATTTGAAATTATTGGAAAATAATGCAAATAACAAGTAACATGCAAATGACAGAAATTATTCATTCTCTGTTTTACATTGTACAGTCTTGTTTACTAAATGTGTATATTACATCTTCAACTTTCTGTGTACACTGCATACTTTACATGTATGTTTTTCATATTTTATTTTTTGACATTCATTGAAATGTATTATCGTGAGTGTACATTTCTTTTTTCAATTTTTTTTCAATTTTTTTTTTCAATTTTTTTTTATGAACAACACATTTACACACAAAGCAACAAGCATACATTACATTGATTACAATTCTCTTCACAACGGACACATCTTTACAAGAGACAAATTATATACTGTACACACATACAAATACACACTCACAGGGGGGGGGGGGGGGGGGATTGCAAAATTTTCTTTGTAGTATAATGATAATTGTTCACATTATTTTATAAGAGAAGCCATTTTTCTACTTTATTAAGCAAGGCTATATTATTTTTGCAGTTTTTATGCTTAATTATCAAGATCTTATGAGATTTAAGTTTAAAAGAATGTGATTTTTTAAACTTGTTATATTAAGTTCCATTTCTAGACATTTCATTTTTAAAATGTATTGTTTAATCATTAATAGAATAAGATTATCCACTATCAAATCAGCATCCTTAGAACTGAATTGTCCAAATATAAATTCCTGTTTGACAAAATTCAAATCAATATTACTGGTTGCAAGCAATTGTTTTGGTTCTCTCAAAATTTCACATACTCTACCACAATCCCAAAATAGATGTTCAATTGTTTCTGGAAATCTTTTACAAAAAGTACAAGTTGATTTTTTTTTATTCCCATTTTTTGTAGGAGTGTGTTTGTAGTTAAGGTTCTATGGTTACTTCGGTATTGAAGCCATCTTAATTTAGTACAAGCAGTAGTTTAAAAAGGACATGCATAAATCTTTTTCCATAATTTGTCCTGAATGTTAAAAACCGTAGACCATTTCCTTTGTGACGTGGGTTTTGTATCATTTCGGCATAAAACAGCATAAATATCCTGTGCCCCTTTAGTCCTCCTGAATATAATATTAAGATTTAAAGGTATATTAGGTAAACAAATACTCTTTTCTAAAGCAAAGATTTCTTGTTTACTATTTATAAACTGTTTTATAGCACTAATTATACCATGGAAAGTTAAAAAAATTGGACCTTATATCATATCTATGTTGAAATTCTACAAAATTATAAAAAGAACCATCGTCTTTAATTACATCATAAATAAAAAGCACTCCTTTTCTATACCACTCTTTACAGAAAACAGGCTTATTGTTTATTTGTATATTGTGATTATACCACAAAGGATTTTCACATATTTTTTCAATTTATGAATTCCACAATTAGCTAAATATTTATATTGTACGTGTATATTTGCTCTATGGTTGTATGTGTTCATTGTACGTTTTACTATATGAAGTTATATACGTTTTACTAAAAAAAATGTTTATATTATTGTTTGCTTACGTGTGTAATTTCTGTTGCAATGTATTACTATTTACATTGTTTGATTAACTGTTTGTATACATTGAAGTGTATATGCGTTAGTTTTATTATATGTGCATTGCATGGTTACTTACGCAATAAACTGCAGGTTGTGACACATATGGCAGTTATACCGGTAGGACTGCCACATCTATACAGTTAATTGTTTATATATTCAGTTTAACAAGTTTTTAAACCTGCTACTGAGATAGCTATTATCCCTACAGTTAAACATTCTGTGTTGTTTTTGGTGATGCCAGGTCTATACCTTGAATGCCAACATATTCAAAGATCTATTTTACGAGCGCGTAGTTACACATTGGAAGAAGTCGTACTCTGGCTAATCAAGATTTATTGTAATTATATACTATACGTTTTATCTTTGTGTATGTTCTATGTTTTCTGTATTAAAATATTGCCAATGTTCCTTTTTTCGTTAACTGCATTTTGTAAGTTAAACTGTGATTGTCAATTGATTTGTTAATCCTTTTTGTGTACATTTTATGCTTACTCTTACAGAACATTGTTTGTTTTACAGTAAGTCAACATTCTATGACGTTATGTTCATTGTGCGCAACACTCTTATGCATATGTGCATACGTATCTGTTCGTGTACTGTTATGTTTTACTGTATGTGTTTATGGCGTGTTTTACCATTTATATACCATGAATGTTTTATTCTATTTTCATGTATGTGTATATCGTATTGTATACGATACTTTGCTTATTTTGCAGGCACAATGACCTTCCATGGCAATACCGTCGATATGCATCAAACAAGGTAAATGATATCAAGCTAAACGAGGATACTAGGATACAATGGACACCAGCGACACCAATGACCGATAACTCTTTTCAAAGTATCCCTGCTCAGACGGACATTCCAAGGCTTTTAGCTGGTGGGCTAGGTGCTCAGGTAGGAAATCTCTTAAATATTTTCAGTTAGTTCGAACGGTAGACATATACATATTGTTATCCATTTCAAAGACTTAAATGTCTTGTAAAAGTTTTCTGATTATTTTTATTTTAACAATCAGAAATATAATTGAAGTCCAATGTATGAGCGGTTATATCGTTGGCAGATTGCCCGACTGGTTAAAATTCGGAGTTCGAGCCTTGAAGCCGTCGTATGTATCGAATATTCAGAGAAAGTATTTTTTCCTGCCCACACAATTACAACAACCAAGGTGGAATATAAAATGGTTTGGGATGGATGTTGCGGTATCTGCTGTAGCATTCAAATGAAGTGGCACTGTAAAAGATGCCGTCGGAAGCACGGTCCAATTACAAACAGAACATATTGCATCTCCAGCACACACGCAGGCATACACACATAGGGAGATATTAGCAATGTGGCATAACATTGGTATTTGCCGAATGAAAGGCAGCTCCTGCAAAATGTCTCAAAATTGTATTGATTATTGTATCATTTAATGCAAATGTTAATTGCATTGACCGTATAAATTAAATATATATGTACTGTTGGCGCTTTAAAGTAGCTTATTCTAGCTACATGTAGATAGGTCGTTATATCAAATATTTTATATCTATTTTATATAAATAACGCTAGCACATGTTTTGGTTTACTGTACAAAATACCACTTTCGTGAGCTACAACATTCATATCAGAGATCACATTTAATAAAAAGAATATGAAGCTTTCCACGTTTCCTTGTAGTAATGGGTATTAATATCTAATTGGCGTACCGGTCTTTCTTTCTAAGTATGGCAATATCTATCTTCTAAGATAAACATGTGATTTTCGGCTATTATTTGCCTACAGCTAGTGCACCGCGGTTTTTCCTAGATACAGTTACCTCCCATTAACTTCCCTTTGGATATATCTGTAGCACATTCGGGCTTGTACTTCGTTGGCCAGTTAGCTCAATTGGTTACAGCGATTATACATGCACAACGTACAATAATGATAAACTAAGACCAGCTACCATACTTCTGGCGGCGGAGGTGGTGGTGGATGAAGGTGTGTGTGTTTGGTTTCGGACAATGTGTCAGTGAGCGTCGTAATACTTCTTCCTACATCACAGTGGTATGATTTGCGAGCAGTAATTTCAATGGAAAAAGCTTATTGTACCAATCCTTTACTTTCAGTTCTGGGCTGCGTTCGTTTCATGTGCTGCCACAGCCAAGGATGCGGTGCGACAGGGGTTTGACCAGGTTGATGTTATTCACAAAATGAACAAAAAATACCCAGAGACGTTTACATTGGCTTTGTCTGCAGATGGTAGGCTTAGGTCATATAAACTGTGGCATTGGTTTATATTTAAAACACGTGCACATTACACTTATGACTGTCAAGTACTGCGATATGATGTAATACAGACGTATGTTCAGTGCGATTGATTTTCTGGAAAATGCAAAGCCTAGACTTTGTCTAGATAATTTTTGTTGTTTAACACAGCAATGTAAACAGAAAAAAAAATATTTCTTATTTTTCAACAAACGTTTTGATACATCAACAAGACATACAGTAAACACATACTCTCACATGCAGACAAAGGCATTCCCATCTTTGCACAATGCCAAGCATCATCATTATAACATATTCCACAAAAAGTAGTAATGAAGCCATATCTGAAAAACAATGTTCAAGCAGCTTAAATAAATTGACCAATGGATTATTCAACTGGGTCACCATGACGTTCAACGTTATTTTCATGATAACCAGTTATGAAATGGCTCCTTGTTATAAACAGATTAAGTGTGTAAAACGTGCTAAATTATATACATCACGTTATTACTGATAAGAAAATGTATATAGCAAATTCAATTGTGCATGCAATTATTTAAATGTAGCATCTAACAGGAAGCCATGGCGCTTGATCTAATTTGTATTTTTATTTTTACAGATATTGAATCTGTATTTGCAAACAACAAAATTGCCAGTCTCATTGGTCTAGAAAGCGGCCACACTATCGGTAACACCCTTGGCGTTCTACGAATGTACTACAAAGTCGGAGTCCGTTACATGACCTTGACTCACAGTTGTGACAATGACTGGTGAGTGATGAATTAGCTGTCACGAGACCTTTTTTTAACTTGTCACTATTATAATCTCCCGAAGTAGGTGTCTGCTTTGTTTATGCTATTCGTCTGTTTGTCCATCTGTCATGCTTTGGTTTCCAGACAGAACAATCAGCCCCGACGTTGGCCGTGGCCTCGGAGTTGAATTTGTTTTGACACGATATACCTAACATAAGTAAGACTAAGTCAACGCAGCAAAATAAATGTAACATTGAATAGGGTTTAAAAGCCATTTCCCCTTTTTGTCATATTTTTCGATATTTAACGTTTAACACCGGTAATTTGCACCAAAAGGGAAACAAATGCGACAAGATAAGGTGCAGTAACAATTGTTGATATATTCGGTTTTCTACACCGACTCGCTATAAAAAATATATAGAAATTTCCTTTTTAAGTATTCTAGTAATCTATTGTGAAGAGTAACTTTCTTTTTTTGTCAGGTGATCATACAACCTCTCAAGTATACTGTTAAGTAAACAGGGAAATGTGCTAGGTGTTTTCTTTTTGTGGATAATAGGTCAAGGTTCGGACTTTTGGTTTCAGACAAAAATGTAAAGTAAAATGTTCATTGCCGTGTAAATATTCTTCATGCCATTCTCCAATATGAGTTTATCGCACAGTTTACTCTACACAGACGGCCTAACGGTCTTGTCGGGTAAAGTACTACATTAACACGTTGAATGTGGCCTCATTATCCGTGTAACACTTTTTAAACATATATATTACTCTTAAGGTCTTAAAGAGTAGCTGGCAATGCAATGTGCTTGATCTAATTTTCCTTTCGTGAACGTTGACATTGTGTTGCCCTGTGCTCTTCTAGAATTCTCTATATCAAATTTTTGCCTTTTTTTACAATCATACACTTCATGTCAGATTCATTTTCTGAAAACGGTGCAATGCTACGATCCTTATACAGTGCTCCAGTGTATTAGTGATAGCTTCTCTTCAGATCCTATAACCACTTTGGGAGATTAATGCTCCTGTGTATTAGTGATAGTTTCTCTTCAGAGCCTATAACCACTTTGGGAGATTAATGCTCCTGTGTATTAGTGATTGTTTCTCTTCAGATCCTATAACCACGTTGGGAGATTAATGCTCCTGTGTATTAGTGATAATGTCTCTTCAGAGCCTATTAACACTTTTTGAGATTAATGCTCCTGTGTATTAGTGATAGTTTCTCTTCCGATCCTACATTATTTAACCATTTTTTGAGATTAATGCTTCTGTGTATTAGTGATAGTTTCTCCTCAGATCCTATAACCTCTTTGGGAGATTAATGCTTCTGTGTATTAGTGATAGTTTCTCTTCAGATCCTATAACCACTTTGGGAGATTAATGCTTCTGTGTATTAGAGAAATTGGTTCTTCATATCCTATAACCTCTTCGGTAGATTAATGCTCCTGTGTATTAGTGATAGTTTCTCTTCAGATCCTACATTGTATAACCACTTTTTGAGATTAATGCTTCTGTGTATTAGTGATAGTTTCTCTTCAGAGCCTATAACCACTTTGGGAGATTAATGCTCTTGTGTATTAGTGATTGTTTCTCTTCAGATCCTATAACCACTTTGGGAGATTCATGCTTCTGTGTATTAGAGAAATTGGTTCTTCATATCCTATAACCTCTTCGGTAGATTAATGCTCATGTGTATTAGTGATAGTTTCTCTTCAGATCCTATAACCACTTTGGGAGATTCATGCTTCTGTGTATTAGAGAAATTGGTTCTTCATATCCTATAACCTCTTCGGTAGATTAATGCTCATGTGTATTAGTGATAGTTTCTCTTCAGATCCTATAACCACTTTGGGAGATTAATGCTTCTGTGTATTAGTGATAGTTTCTCTTCCGATCCTACATTATTTAACCACTTTTTGAGATTAATGCTTCTGTGTATTAGTGATAGTTTCTCTTCAGAGCCTATAACCACTTTGGGAGATTAATGCTCTTGTGTATTAGTGATTGTTTCTCTTCAGATCCTATAACCACTTTGGGAGATTAATGCTCCTGTGTATTAGTGATTGTTTCTCTTCAGATCCCATAACCACTTTGGGAGATTAATGCTTCTGTGTATTAGTGATAGTTTCTCCTCAGATCCTATAACCTCTTTGGGAGATTAATGCTTCTGTGTATTAGTGATAGTTTCTCTTCAGATCCTATAACCACTTTGGGAGATTAATGCTTCTGTGTATTAGTGAAATTGGTTCTTCATATCCTATAACCTCTTCGGTAGATTAATGCTCCTGTGTATTAGTGATAATGTCTCTTCCGATCCTACATTATTTAACCACTTTTTGAGATTAATGCTCCTGTGTATTAGTGATAGTTTCTCTTCCGATCCTACATTATTTAACCTCTTTTTGAGATTAATGCTTCTGTGTATTAGTGATAGTTTCTCTCCAGATCCCATAACCACTTTGGGAGATTAATGCTCCTGTGTATTAGTGATAGTTTCTCTCCCGATCCTACATTATTTAACCACTTTTTGAGATTAATGCTTCTGTGTATTAGTGATAGTTTCTCTCCAGATCCCATAACCCCTTTGGGAGATTAATGCTCCTGTGTATTAGTGATAGTTTCTCTTCATATCCCATACCCCCTTTGGGAGATTAATGCTTCTGTGTATTAGTGATAGTTTCTCTCCAGATCCCATAACCACTTTGGGAGTTTAATGCTCCTGTGTATTAGTGATAGTTTCTCTTCCGATCCTACATTATTTAACCGCTTTTTGAGATTAATGCTTCTGTGTATTAGTGATTGTTTCTCTCCAGATCCCATAACCACTTTGGGAGTTTAATGCTCCTGTGTATTAGTGATAGTTTCTCTTCATATCCCATACCCCCTTTGGGAGATTAATGCTTCTGTGTATTAGTGATAGTTTCTCTTCAGATCCTATAACCACTTTGGGAGATTAATGCTTCTGTGTATTAGTGATAGTTTCTCTTCAGATCCTACATTGTATAACCACCTTTTGAGATTAATGCTTCCGTGTATTAGTGATAGTTTCTCTTCCGATCCTACATTATTTAACCACTTTGGGAGATTAATTCTCCTGTGTATTAGTGATAGTTTCTCTTCAGATCCTATAACCACTTTGGGAGATAAATGCTTCTGTGTATTAGTGAAATTGGTTCTTCAGATCCCATAACCTCTTCGGTAGATTAATGCTCCTGTGTATTAGTGATAGTTTCTCTTCATATCCCATAACCACTTTGGGAGATTAATGCTTCTGTGTATTAGTGATAGTTTCTCTTCAGATCCTATAACCACTTTTTGAGATTAATGCTCCTGTGTATTAGTGATAATGTCTCTTCAGATCCTATAACCACTTTTTGAGATTTATGCTCCTGTGTATTAGTGATAATGTCTCTTCAGATCCTATAACCACTTTTGGAGAATAAGAAAATAACGTTGGTATCGTAAAAATACTTTTAAAAGTTTTGTAAGTAAAGAAAACAGTTTTAATTAAGGCCGGTATAATAATCGATAATGTTATATGATTTTTGTATAGTATGTTTATATACTATATATCGGGAAATTTTCGCTGTTGGTCAATTTTCGCCCTTTGTCATGAGGGCGAAGATTTCATTACAGCGAATATAAATCAACAGCATAATAATCTAGTGATTAAATACGAAGGGCAAAATTTACACTGGACGAAAATTTATTTCATGGGCGAAGGGCGACAGTTTGACTGGGCGAACATTTCGTCTTGTAATACTTGGCTTTGTTTTCAGGGCGGACAACTACAAGGCGGACTTGAATGGAGGTGTATCTAAAGGTCTCACAGACTTCGGAAGGGTAAGGTTCAAACATATAAACAGGTGTTTGGTTTAAGGCTAGAACATGCAAATGTATCGTATACTTCCGAGATTGTAAGGATGTGGAGGGTTTTTTCTGTGAATACAAACTTTATTTATTTTACAACAATTACGAAACAAGTTATTTCAACTTTTGTTAATCACTCATGTTGGCCCGGAAGTTAGCGCATAGGGAGTCTAACTGTTTGAGGAAACCTGAGTACCCGGAGAAACCCACGTGGTCGAGCAGGCTACCCCAAACCATTTCACGTCCAATCGAGGAATCGAACCCAGGCCGCCTTGGTTTTAATTGGTTCATATATTCTGTGATTAATTTTTAACATTTCTCCAGATGAATACCGGTTTTTGTCAAATAAGATTTAGATATATTATTTTTAAATCTTAAAGTATCGTGAATGATATTTGTGTAACACTTACTGGTTATAGATGGTGGTTCGAGAAATGAACAGGCTTGGGATGATGATAGATTTGTCGCACGTTTCGCATCAGACCATGCTTGACGCCATCGAAACGTCGGAAGCACCAGTCATCTTCAGTCACTCGTCCGTCTTCTCACTTTGTAATCATTACAGGAACGTCCAGGATGACGTACTCTTAAAGCTGGTAAGATACGGAATAAAGTACTCGATAATTAGGCAAGATACATAAAAAGTGCACTGCAAACCAGTGATTTAAAAATGTATGTAATCGATAACGTTATCGTATTTAATTTTAATCGGGTAGTAGTTTTTATTTATTGTGTTTAGCGTCCTAGTGAGAGCTAAGAAAGATTAAGGCACGCCTCCATGTGTGTTTATATATGTGCTAGAGGCTGGTTATGTTATTATATCTTATTTTTTGCACACTTTGCGGATTTATCAATGACACAATATTCTTTGCAGAAGGAGAATAATGGTGTCATAATGATAAATTTCTACACGGCGTACATCAACAATGCTACAGATCACAGAAATACAACGACAGTGGCCCAAGTAGCAGGTAAATGTCATTAGGGTTAAGCAGCATCATCTTATTACATATTTTGTATACTGAATTGAAAACTAAACTATCAAATTATCCAATTGTAATTAACTGGGTTTCGTGAATTACAGAGGACTATTTTGCATATAAACGCAGTCATTTGATCCTCGGAATATTCGAATCATAAAACGGTCGCACTATCAAAATTGTATCCCTGCTTTGTTCGAAATGTCTGTTTTACCGAACTTGTAAAGATACTTTTCGAAGTAAATGCTCGATTTTACAGTTTTAAGAGTTGCATGTAGGAATTTCCCTCCTCTGTCCATCTTGCAAATACTTTTGAAATACAGAAGTTACCAGAAGAATAAAATGGTTTAATTTCATGAAAATGATATTTTTTTCTTGACAATGCTATTAATATTTATTTGCAGATCACATTGATTACGTGAAGACTTTCATAGGCGTCGACTATGTGGCCATAGGCTCAGACTATGATGGCGTTCCTTAGTACGTATAACACGGACCTATACAGCAAAATAATCTAAGAGTAATGCTGACATTCTGTGAATTCAAATATTTTCGTGGGGCCCTAATTTCGCGGTTTCCCGAAACAACACCACTCATGGATTACGAGTAATCCTTCAAACGGGAAATGGCTTTATATCAAACTTGTAATTACTTCGTCGAATTTTGGGTTCGTGGATGAAGATTATATTCAGGAAATAAACGAATTTAAAAACCACGAAATTTAGTGATTTCACAGTAACATAAGATGGTGTTTCATATGGAAATGAAATAAATGTAATATTAATAGAACATACTATGCAGAAAAACATTGAAATTAATTCAATATGAAGAGGATGTATTGCATAATAATATATATAAGTACAACAATACAATATCAATACGTTATATTATATTACATAATACTACAATATATGGAAAAATATCTAAAATAGGATTATTTCACACATATATCAATATAGCGCAGTAGATACGTTCTAATTAAGATAGTTTACTTACGATACATCACAATACCATTATGCATTCTGGCGGTAAATACAATACCAACAAATATTGATAGTGTTAATTGTAGCGGGAACCCACAACTACCGGTAGTTGCAAACGGTGCGTTGCTTAAAAATCAACCTGAAGTCCACACAATTCGACTTGCAAGCAACTGTTTCAGCTAAATAAACGTCATGGCGGACATTCTGTATTTGACATTCATTATGCTTTACATCTATCACTTTGATAAAGTATGAACGAACTCGACCGAACACAACACGAATTATAAACCGTATAGTTGTCCTAGCAAACTAGATACCGGTAAACGGCGGCCTTTTCGCAAAAATACGTATCATTCAATATAGGATACAATGTATCTAATACAACAAAAGCATTACCCGAATATCAAACATTCAGGGGCTTTAATAATGTGGTCCGTTTTCGAAAAAAATAACGATTTCTCTTTCACACTGAACGAAAATCGTGTGAGTATCCCTTTTACTGGCCGTCATTGATATATCTACCCTAAAGAAAAAAGCTAAATTCATGTTTGATGACCATTTAAGGATATATGAAATCCCTATTGCACGTTTAAACATGCTCAATGCGGGAACTACTCTATATGTAAAGTTTCAATACATTCCGCAAAAACGTCTTCAAACTCTTTTCGGAAATTTCATTAAGAATATACACATTAATGTCTTATAATGAACCCCGTCACACTGCAAAATCTGTAACGACATATTGGAAACTGGAAACTACTGGTTTCCGACATGTTTATCGCTTTTATTCATCATTTCTGATTTCTGATAAAGAAAACATACCTTGTGGGTATTTGATGAAAATAATAATAAGAGTGAAACAAAAACATATAATCAACAATCTGTTCTGACTGTAAAATGCAGCTTAGCGAGAGAAGGATTCGAACCCTAGACTTCTGAACTATAGCTCTAGGCGACCGAACTACCAGGTAATCGGTAGTCTTTTTGTACAATAGTACCAGATATATTCAAAACAACATAAAGGGGAGGTTCCTGTAGGGACAGGGATTCTTATCGACATTGAAGGTTCATTCAGCAATGAACTACGGTTCATGCAGTCAGTCCCAATCTGCGTCTTTCAATCAATATATTCCTAACGGAGTTGTGCCAGCTTAAGTTACCTAGCGATCGATGACATGGCGGTAACTTTAACAGATTGATTCTGTTAATTAGGGTTTAGTGACCTAATAAAATGGTAGCGAGGAGGTAATATTTTATAGTTGTTTATTTTTGTGGGTTTAAAATTTCACGACTTTGTTTCGCGGGTGTTAATTTCCGCGAGGCACAATTTCTGTAAGTCTATTTCCCAACACCTCTGAAAAAGTTTCGAGTGCTTATTGAATTCAATTGTATGTCGTCTACTGAGTTGTTGTCATCAATATGTGAGCCTTCTGAACTTCAAAATATTCATAAAATTGTGACGATGGGGAGTCGAGTCCTTGGTTGAGAACGAGAAAACTTTAGGTTACGACAATAACGGTAACATTGAACCGATTTCCGGCACCAATGCTGTCGGTAGGTAAGCCACGATTTCGATATTTGCTTACATGTATACGTATCTATGTTATTTTATCTGTTGAACCTGACGTAGTAGCCGGCATCACGGACGTAACAGAAATTACAAACTAGACAATAGTGACAGATCAGAATAAACATGACATGACGTAGAAAATACTTTTATTGCAGCTTGCCCCTTGAGCTTGAGGATGTTTCAACTTACCCGGTGCTATTTGCCGAACTCCTCAGACGGAGCTGGTCTGAGGACGATCTTGCAAAACTGGCCGGCGAAAACCTCCTCCGGGTCTTCAGAGCCGTGGAAACGGTAAGGGACTTTTTTGGGTTTATAGAACAGCAAAATAATATTGGTAACCCTTTTCAGGATTTTCAGCACACAAAATTTAAAGGGCTAATCTTATGGGGTCCTAAAGTATATAGAATACAATTGTAAAATTAATAAAGTTTACTTTTTCTTTTAACCGTCCTCCGTTTCATCCGTGTTTTTCTACACGGTAAAGATATTAAGTGCAGCATGAAGAGCAACGGTATCGCTCTTAAGTCTTTCGTGATCCTTATAGTGGTTAACTGGGTTAGATTATCACAATACTGTGTCAAAAGTCAAAGCTGAATTTTTCGATAGTTTTTAGAACGATTCGATGAAAATCCTAATCAGTATTCGACATTTATCCAATGATGGGTTTATTGGCGCTTACGGAAGAACGTTGCTGATATGATATGCTGAATGTACATTATGTACGTTAAACTAATCGGAATTTTGGCGAATATTAAGGATTTTGGAAAGCACAGGTTTTGAACAAATAAGCAAGGGAGTGAAGTGTTTTGTATTTTCATTTTTTTTCCGATCAACATGAATTTAAAAAAAAAGTTTTTTTGAAAAAGTGAATCGTTTATTGAAAAATGGCTCTTGGTATTTCCAAAAATATCACAAATAATTATTACATGTATATTTGTTTTTCACTTTAGGTAGATAAACGAAGGTTTGCCTACAGTCAATTATATAGAAAACAACACAGATAAGCAAACGGCTACATTTTGCATAAAATTGGTACATGGACATTGAAAATATTTTTTACGTTTAACAAAATTTATCTTGCAATTACCTGTGTAAAATTGTTTCTTTGTATTGTTTGTACCAGAACACGTCAAATTTGATGCAAAACTGAGAAGAATTATTGAACTTCTTTGCTTCTGATTTTCAGTTGTTAGAATGTTCTCCCCTGTACAGCTTTGTTTCGAAACACTTAAGCAAAAGCAATAAAAAAAATATTACGATATCAACGGCAAGTACCTGAAATGCTCATTCAAAATCACTAAACTTTAGGCCTAATTTCTTATATTTCATTCTTAGCTGTTCACTGTGATTAAACTTATACATTTAGGTACGTGATAACAAAAGAAGCCAGGCACCCTATGAGGACATCATCAATCCAGCCGATTTCGTGTTGCCTCATTTTAACTGTACAACCAGTTTCTAGGAGGACCTGCTTCGTCAACGCAATCCGATGACTTACAAAGTCTTTTGAGAATTAATTATCAACGTCTTCGACAAAAAAAAAAGATTTTTGAGAAGAAAATATATGAATACCAGTACTCTAGTATAAAAACATGTCATTATCTTTTTATGTTTAGTTTGAATATTGAAAGTATTGATTTTTTTCAGATTTCGTACGGATCTTTTAACATATTGTTTACGAAAGATTATACCTTGTGTTTAAAGAAAAATGCTCTATAATCAAGATTTATGTTAGCCAATTTAGTGCCTACTAATATATTAATAAATGTTAAATTTAACACATTGTTTGGTTATTTATTAAGTCAAAAATATCTCAGTCAAGGGCGGCCATCTTGAATTTTTGGATTGGCATGAAATGTAACAGCACTTGTTGGGGACCTCGTAGGGATCAATTTTGTCGAGTGAGTAGTTAATTGCTGCAGTCGTACTTGGGAAGAAGTCGAATATGTCTCAGCCAATCAGATGCCAGAATTTTTTTAAACATTTACCTTTTTTTTCAAATCTGATAGCTTAACGTCTCAGCGTCTTACATATTAATTAACATAACTAAATATCAAGTCTAGACTTTGTAGAACTCAAAAAGTTTTTTAAGTCATCAAAAATCAGAAGCAGAAATGACATACCTGTAAGAGTGATAGTTTATGTATAATATTGAGGTTGACGTCAGCCTCGTGCCGAAAAATGCAGCGTTGTTGGCTGGAACATTTTAGCAAAAAAGAGGCGGCGCTTCCAGCCAATCACACCACGGGTCTCGGCACGTGGCTGACGTCAACCTCATTAATAAACAAAAATGTGGCACGATGACAGCAAACAAAACTTGGAAATGGCGTGTGGTTTTGGAGGAAACGGAGAATATATTTTACGTGCATATAGGAGTTTTTTAAAAGAAAAAGTATCCATCTTTCGAACGGTACTACATGTAAGCATTTTCCCGTAGTTCAACTAGAAATGTTGTTTTTGATGTAAGAAAATTAGGTGGGGTCGACTTTTCGACATCGAGAACTATCCGCCCTTCTCGTATATTTAAACATTTAGGTTGTCTTTTTTACCGAAAGTCTATCTAAACCCCTTCAACATGTAAAATGACTAGTTTAGGTCCAAATATAACTGTAACAAATTATCAGGTCGTTGTGGTCTAAACCAGACCTAAAGTGATAGGAAGGCATTTCACACTACGGTGCAATAATTAGTATTGCCGATATTTTGGGTACTAACAGAAGATGAAGGATATTTGTTTACCTTCGCAACAATAATGGGCGTGGTGCATAATGGGATACTCCCAAAAGTAGACGATATGATCATGACCGAATAACTAATTATATATAGAGATTCACGATCCAAGGGAAGCAACTCGAGCTAAGGATATGTAATTTCTGACTCAAAACACCGTCAATAGTGTTTAACTGGCGGTACTGATCCTCACATTCTATTGTAAATACTAATAGCCATTCTTCAATACTGCTTTTAACTTCCAAGGTACTGGACAGGAGCGAACCTGAGTTTATGTAACCCGCTCTGTTTCCCTATTTCTCCCATAAAGTGCTCACCACAACATATTGGCCAGAAATACAGCGACGGGATGAAAAACGTCACACAAAACGATAAATCAGCAAAATGTTATCAGCTGTTGCTAACGTTAGTGACAATTCATGTACTGCCCTAGAAATTCTCCCTCCAGCTACCCATTTTGCCTCTTATGTCAGTGTCAACCCCGATACAAATCGAAAACAACGTGGATCACACATCCATGTGGTCACGACATCTATGAAACGCAGTCGAACAGCAAACTGCCATGCCACATTTTTTTTCGAGCCATATCTGTTTTCCCGTCTTATTCGACATTTCAAACAACCAAAAGATGTAGAACTTCATAATTTAGCGGTTCTCCACTTCGAGTTAACCTAATAAAAGACGGCTACTGTACAGCACAGATGAGCTTCCGCAACCGCGTCTAGAAATATTTCCTCCCCGATGACACGTCAGAAAATGTAATGTCTAAACGTATGCAGTAATCAACATTTTTTTAATTTAAATTTAAATTATAGTCCTTCAATGACGGACTATATTTTTTTACAAGCTCCATAATCTGGACAAACTATCAAAATGGAATTTCACAAGTTCCAATTATTGAAAATAACCGCATGTTGATTGAAATATAAGGATTTAATCTTACTTTGGTCGATTTCATGGGGTGATAAATTGAGTTGGTCTTGAAACAAATACAACATAAACTGCTTCGCAGTTCATTAAATTTGTTTCATGAACAACTCAATTCATCATCCCATGAATTCGACCAAAACAAGATTCAGTCCTTATTTTGCAATCTGCATTAAGCATTTGGCGAATGATAATAAGTATTTTTAAACTCTGCATTTCGTAATGCATACTGGTCTTCCATACTAAATTGAAAGTCATACATACAAAAGTTTAACAGACCAATACGCATAAAAGGTACAGATTTTTACTCATTAAACATACAGTCAGATACGCAATATACGTATTGACATACACGCAACAGACATACAAATATAAACTGACGAACAGACGGACACACAACAACTGACGAACAGACAGATACACAACAACTGACGCACAGACAGACACACAACAACTGATGTACAGATACACAACAACTGACGCACAGACATATACACAACAACTGATATACAGACAGATACACAACAACTGATATACAGACAGATACACAACAACTGACATAGAGACATATACACAACAACTGACGTACAGACAGACGCACAACAACTGACGTACAGACAGATTCACAACAACTGACATAGAGACAGATACACAATAACTGACGTACAGCCAAACACACAATAAGTGACGTACAGACAGATACACAATAACTGACGTACAGACAGTTACACAACAACTGACGCATAGACAGATACACAACAACTAATGTACAAACAGATACACAACAACTGTCGTACAGACAGACACACAACAACTGACGTACAGACAGATTCACAACAACTGACGTACAAACAGATACACAACAACTGACGTACAGACAGACACACAACAACTGACGTACAGACAGAGTCACAACAACTGACGTACAAACAGATACACAACAACTGACATACAGACAGACACACAAAAACTGATGTACAAACAGATACACAACAACTGTTGTACAGACAGACACACAACAACTGACGCACAGACATATACACAACCACTAATCTACAAACAGATACACAACAACTGACGTACAGACAGACACACAACAACTGACGTACAGACAGATACACAACAACTGATGTACAGACAGACACACAACAACTGATGTACAAACAGATACACAACAACTGACGTACAGACAGACACACAACAACTGATGTACAAACAGATTCACAACAACTGACTTACAGACAGATACACAACAACTGACGTACAAACAGATACACAACAACTGACGTACAGACAGACACACAACAACTGACGTACAGACATAGTCACAACAACTGACGTACAAACAGATACACAACAACTGACATACAGACAGACACACAAAAACTGATGTACAAACAGATACACAACAACTGTTGTACAGACAGACACACAACAACTGACGCACAGACATATACACAACCACTAATCTACAAACAGATACACAACAACTGACGTACAGACAGACACACAACAACTGACGTACAGACAGATACACAACAACTGATGTACAGACAGACACACAACAACTGATGTACAAACAGATACACAACAACTGACGTACAGACAGACACACAACAACTGATGTACAAACAGATTCACAACAACTGACTTACAGACAGATACACAACAACTGATGTACACACAGATACACAACAACTGTCGTACAGACAGACACACAACAACTGACGCACAGACATATACACAACCACTAATCTACAAACAGATACACAACAACTGACGTACAGACAGACACACAACAACTGACGTGCAGACAGATACACAACAACTGATGTACAGACAGATACACAGCAACTGCCGTAAAAACAGATACGTAACAGACGCACAGACAGATGCGTGATAGACGTACAGACAGATACGTGACAGATGTATAGATTCACAATAAGAGTAAAGACAGTCACTAAACAGATGTACAGACAGCCACCAATAGAACTGAATAACTCTAAACAACACGATATATAAACGACAGGTTTGTGATCACATAAAATGAATTTAGTGTATATTTTCCTACCACGTATATTCAAACTTTTCTCATGTATTTTAGGGCATAACGGGGTTGGGGGCTGGTGAGGAAGCCATTGAATAAGGTAGGGGGATGGGGTCGGTGATGGGGTCAGGGGTGAGGACGGGGAGGGAGGGGAGTGGGGGGGCTGAACCGCCAGAAATAGACGTATCTTTCCTACATACGGAAGTAAACAAATGTCTCACTGGTCTTGGGCATTATTTTTCAGAATTTTGAACGGCGGCCGCGGGAACAACAATTTGGAATTTTTGGTTTGAAAATGTCTATTTACTCTCATCTTGGGGTCAAGGGGCGCTCCTATGTATGTTAGATTTCGGTTTAGCTTCACATTTTGACACTGCACCAATCCCTTTGTTTTATAACGAGTCACTTTCCCGTCTGCAGGGTTTTAAGTGTACTGTATATTGTCACTCATTTTTTTAAACTATCGTCAGAGTTATCTGCCCTTGAACTCGTTTGTTAGTGAACATATGGACACTGTTTTGTTAGCGCTGCTTTCATTGGTCACAGTTGCATAATGCACTCTGATGAGTGAAGTATCTATATACTGACACATCACACTGTCGCCCGTTGCTAGGGCGTTATGAAGAACCCTTCCATTGACTCATATGACAGTGTGAAATGAACGTTTTATCTAGACCAATCAAATTACAGGATTTTCACTAGAGGTATGATAAAATAATAAACTACCCGTAGAGCAATGCACTATGCCTTTAACCCTGGACAATATGTAAGCATGTAATTTATTCTGATTGCTCTTAAGGATCCCTGTCCCATTACACTGTGTTCATATATATATATATATATATATATATATAATAACCTCACCTTAAGGATCCCTGTCCCACTGCACTGTGTATATTTAAGCATTGAACTGTTTTTGTATGATATTTATGATCTATTTGAATGACACAGCTTTGCAAGCAAAAAACATAATTCGCGCTAGCGCATTATGAGTTGTTTGCTTGCAAAACTGTGTCATTCAAATAGATCATAAATACTATACAAAAACAGTTCAATACCTATATA